CCTCCAGGTACCTAATATATAGGGCCGTAGGGGCTCTAGTACACTATATAGTAGGTACCTGGGGGGTTAGGGAAAGACAGGGAGAGCCGTCCTGGGGTCCGGCAGCTCGCAGCTCGCCCAATGGCCGAAGCTCCGCATCGTAGAGGGCCACGAAGGTCGGACCGACCACCTTAGCACCGAGCTCCGAGGTGCCGCCGCGGCCCTAAATTTCACATGCGAAATGAGGCGAAGCAAAGTGTCAGATCATATTCTGCTGTCCACTTCCTCTTGGCACCACGGGTCGAATGATGTTCAGAGTCGCAAGCTTGAGCAACCTGTTGAATCTGCACTACTGTAGCCGGCCAAGCGGCGAGTATCGCACCTGCGACTTGCGGCATTCAATGCAAGCTATTCTGAAAGACCCGTGCCGCGACTTCTCTAAGTGCTGAGACGATGGACCACTTTTCAGTAGGGCCATCTGTAGAGACTGCCGACACTCACTAGCTCTGCTGCTACTTTCTTATTCATGCACTCACCCACCTCGGGGCGAAGCCCACTCTCCAGCAGCAGATGGGATGGTTGCGATGAGTGTGGCTTCAGTCACGCGCCTGGGCCGCAGACACTCGTAGCTTAGCTTTGCCCAGAAGAGGCCAGCGGTGTGACATCATACACTGTCTGCATCGCTGAACCCAACCATCGCCTGGCTGAAGCCTCGGCGGGAGTCCTGCACGCGGCCATGCGAGATACGATATGCAGCAGGATGCCCTGCTTTTTGCTCGTGACTGTGGCTGTTACGCGACCCGCCGGCTGGAAGCCTCGCTGCCATCGTTGTCTCGTTGCCCAATTGCGTAAGTTCTTCAATGATTAGCCCGAGACTTGCCTTAAATTTAGTTGCTCTTCAGCAGGATCGCTCAATTCCCGGTGTTTTCCCTTTGTGTGAGCATCCCACAGGTAAAGACCCGTGCCTTGCACTCTCAAGGAGCCCATGGTCCCCCGAAGTGGGCAGCGACGTCGCTGTTCCAGCAAAAATGACCGAAGCAAGTGTCGTTGTGTCGCTCCGACTGGTGCCAAGAAGGTCAATAGCAATCGCATGGTTGCATCGAGCCGTCCTTCTTGGGTATCGTGAGACATGAACGAAGAGCGAGAACATCAGTCGACTCTTTGGGGCCGGAGGGTTGCTGGCAAAGAGGTCTTTGACATAAAGGCTCTCTCCCCTGCAACTACATGTATACTTAGAATTACTCTCTCCGAAAAGCGGCCGCAATTCTGTGACTTTTCGAGCAAGATCCCAGCTCCGTGAGGCATCCAGGCGCCAACTTCCCGCAGCGAAGCCACGTCCTTCCGGCCTGACGGCTGCAGGGACCAGGGAGTTCTGGGTTCTGGGTTCGGCTGAAGTCCAATACACGCCGGAAGGGAGGCGGGCTACCGCTAAGACAAGGCTGCCGCCCATCTCCTTTTACCTTCTTTGACCAAGGCGCGTCGGAAATTCGGAAGCTTTGGCAAGTCATCCCTGCCCCTTTTAGGGGCAACTTGTCACTGACCTGTCCTGCCTCGGCTGGCCGGCTTGGACCACGGCCAAGCTCCTCAAAAGCTGAAAGACTCAACACATGCAACCCGAGTGTGGCAGAGCAAAACCGAGAATCTAGAACTGTTGTGGGCTTCGCACTTCTTCTGTGCATCCAGCGAGTGGAGACAAAGCGTCTTTGGCCCAGCCTCATCAGGGAGGAAAGGTCCAGCTGCCTGAACCCTCTCACAGGAAGAGCGGCCCTTGAAATCCCTTAAAACTTTAAACTGTGTTCTGCAACGCTCCACGGAAAGCGCCTCCTCTTTGCCGCCATTGGCATGAAGAGCTGCAAGTGTCTCGATGCTGTCGTCCTTGCAAACCCTCCACGCACATCCCGTGCCAACACGCCGTCGAAGAATTCAGCCCTCCTGTTCCTACAAGTGGAAGCGAGCCAAGTTACGTCTGCAGCCAGGCGCTCAAGGAACTCCATGCCAATAATCTGCTCATCCACTTGCGTGAAAAACATTCGCCCAGCAGCTTTCCTTGCCGTCAACATGATAACCGAGTGTGTCGGGAGCGAGGGGCAAGAGGGTGACGAGGGCAAGATGGGTAAGGGTGGCAAGATGGCAAGAGAATCAGGACAAAGGGAGCAAGGCAGGACAAGGGCCAGCAGGTGCTGGGAAAGGGGTGGGACAAGGGTTGGGAATAAGAGAGGTTCAGGGAGGGTGAAAGAGTCCAGAGGGTCAAGAAGGTCGAGCTCCCCTCTCCGGATGCAATGTGAGACCAGGGAAGGTCCCCAAAGGAAAACAGCGAAGTACTGCGACCAGATGCGGCTGAAACGCAAATCCATCGGGACCGGCTGCTGTGGATCCATCAAATCACCGAGATCAGCAACCGCCACGACATTCCCGTACAGGTAAACCTGACACCGTGGCTGGGCGCAAAAGGGAGCTGACAGCACGCCTTCCGTGAAGAACAAACCACTTTTTTTAGGCACTGGGCCCGTCCTACATGACAAAATGCACAGACTCATGCCTTGTAAGTCCTCCTGTGATATAGTGACTCTACTGCGTTATGCGGTGGTACTGGCATGAAAAGGCTTCCAGGGGGCAACCAGCCGCTTTCCGTTCGAAGAGAAACAGCAGGATGGTTCCTGCTGGTGCAGACCCAGCGATCGAAGAGATGGTCCACTGGACAGCAGGGGCCTGCGCTGTCCCTGCGATGGCAGCGCTGCCCATATCGGCCGTGGCAATCCTGGATTGGGCACATGCTTTGCTCTGCATTGCTTGGCAGCTCGGCCGAAAAAGCAACCAAGGAGCCATCGCAGCTTGTTGATTTGAGCATCGTAGCCTGCCAACTACATAATGTGGCGACAGAGTCTGAATTTGACATCGCACTGTCTGCGGTAAGCTTCCCGCCGGCGATGGCAAGCTTCAAAGAGACCTGCCAACTGCAACTGGAAATGCAAAGAAGCCGGGCGAACAGCGTCAATCCGATTGATGGCCCTTCCAAATTGCGCCACGTGGCCGTGATGAGAATGAGCAGCTCGCCGCAGCTTGCGGCTTGCCATGAGCTCAGCATGCAGCACACCTGGAGTGAAGCCATTCTTCTCGGCTGGTACACAAACCACGGGACAGGGCTGTGCCTTACCAGAAACCCCTCAGGTCCTGCCGCAAAGCTGAAGGGTCGAAACACCCCGGCAGTGCCATCACATCCCTGTCCCTGCACCCCGTCACATCTTCCACGATGGTAAAGGAACACTGTGCCACCGAGCCAAACACCTGTGCACTGCGATGTACTAAACCCATCTCCAAGAAGAAGTCTACAGCAATGACAAGCATACTCGTCACGCTTTCTTGGAATTACCTGGAAATGAAAGATCTTTCTTTCAGCACTCACTCTCGGACGGATGTTTAATCTGCTTTAAGAGGCCTGTTCGCGGATCTGCTCGGTGCATAGCGGAACAAACTGCGCATCTTGGAAGCGGAAGATCTCCAATGTCCTTCTCTGGGCCAAGGATCGTCCCTTTCCTAAAGCAGTGTAAGAAAACTAGAAGCAAAAGGAAACTGGCAGAAGAGTTTTGATGAAAAAGGTAGGTAGCACAACTAAGAATAGGATTCGTGCTGGAATCTTCTTGCTGGCAGCATACGACACCATTGGAGCTGAGTCCCCCACGTACCGCGGACGACGGCCAGCTCCTCTGACAGTGCGGGGTCCAAACATAACACAACCTCTACTTCGCCCAGTCTGCAACTGGATGATCGTCGCATTCTTGCCGATAGGATGGCTGTCTGAACTAGAGTCCGAGTTTTTGCAGTTGATTTGCCAAATTTGGTGGGCAAAATTCGAGGGCAAAAACAAGGGTCAGGGTCCCTGAGATGACAAAGAACAGAGCTGCTGAGGTGCCATAACAGCCATAACATAGCTGTCATAACGCAGTCGCATGTACTGACAGGCTGGAAGGCAGTGAGATAAATAGTCCCGCGTGACGTCCTCCCTTCTGAATTATACTCCTCAAACCAAAATGACCTCCCAGCAGCGCATGCATTCGGCGCTGGTGTCGCGCTGGTTAGTCTAGTCCGGGATCCTGCCCTGGCAACCCAGAAGAGCTGGAATCTGCGGGAACCCTCGGGAGGTGAGATGGGAAGCACCCACGCGGCTTCTCCAGCACCGTTCATGTGCATATAAGTAGCTATGCACCATCTGTTCTGTCATGCCACTCGAGCCGCCAAGGGACGTGGAGAATCAAACAACTACATGGCTACATGTAGCTATTACTGTGTCAAAGGAGCTCTCATGGACTGGGGTGCTTTAAGCTGTTGTTCTCCAGTCGAAAACCTTAAACGAGAGACAGTTACTTCAAGTTTCTATCACTTCTACCTGCACTGGCCGATTGCTCCTCCTCCCCGGGGGCAGTAATGGCCACTGGACCCAGGACACATTCCACGGCAGTGGCAGGCTGAGCCGTGACGAAGTAGCTGCGCGCTGCCATGATGCGGCATGGAGCTGTCGATGTGATTCCGGCAAGTCACTCTGACTCTGGCTTCCAACGTGCTGTGGGGGTTTAGATCCAGCCCGCTGGGGAGTATTGAGGCCTTGCGGGGTCCGTCATGCACTTCGGTTGGCAAGTTGAGCCACAAACTTCGTGTTTCGCGGCATCCCAGCAATTATCAGAGTCAGAGTGGTCAAAATGTTGCACGGTTTTTTCGTTACAGGTCCTGCGGGTTGACGCGGCCAGGGCCATAGCCTCTGCCATCTCTGCGCTCGTAGACGTCGTAGTGCGCACTTTGGACACCTGCGTCCCTATCACGGAGGCCTCGGCCGCGATCCTCGGTTTGATAACCGTCGTAGCCACCGTGACTGCCATGGCCATAGCCACCATAGCTGTGACGGTACCCCGAATCGCTGCGGACAGGTTCTGTGCTGCCACCATAGGCAGGAATGCCATGCGGCCAATGCTCAGAAGGCCTGCGCCCATCAGCGGTCTCATGCCTTCTCTGGCTGTCCGCGGTGCCTCGATCGTAGGCCGTAGGACGGCTAGGCTCAGTCCGGTATCCATCCCCGTAGTCGCGGCGCACAGCCTCAGGCCTGTGGCCGCGCGAGTCTCGATAGCCGTCACCCCCACGGTGATGTCTGTCGGGCCTGCAAGCAAAATTCGGCGTGTGGGGACAAGATGAAGGTGCTGTGCACGCATGCGTGCGCCCTAGACACACCATGGAAGATTCTCCAGGTTGCCTGCAGTCAGTCTAAAAGTTAAAAAGCGATCTTCGCCTTAGGTTTGTTACTCTCACCTCTCTATGCTTCTGCTTTGTACCCGCCTTTACATGCATCAGACTCTAAGTCGGTCACCCTTGGTTTCGGCGAATGTCTGCAACTGGTCTCATATCATGACGGGCTCTCACTTCGAAGATTTGCACAGTCTCTACACACACAGCCGAAGCGACTTGCACAGTCTCTACACACACAGCCGAAGCGACCGGCTTCCCGAGGTCATGTCACACACTTCTCGGTGCATCCCAGATCTCGCCGGGACCCACATTCTATAGATATCATGCCGAACTAGGCTCGAAATCCATGTTTTCGATGTCACAGATCAACTTGCAATCCTCTGCATGCTGCTGCAAGTGCATGTCTAGCTTACCCCCGTTGTTTCACTGTTGTTTCCATCCCTGCACGGCCTGCACGGTTACAAGTCGGGATTTACTTTGGGCTGCCATAAAATGCACACAGCCCTGGCATGGCCTCGGTGGTGGCGTCGGTGGCTTCGGCGGTTCCGGAGCGACGTCACCCGTTGCAAAGGCCTCGCCATGCCTCTCCATGCCCGCCTCGCGAGAAGAGTTCAGGTTTCGCACTGGTTTCGCTGTTGCGGACAACCTGTTTCTGAAGCGGCCGCGACACAGCCACATAAGGACGCACAAGCAGCGTGAACGAAGGGCGCGAACGACGGTGGGAGAAAGCTAAAGGAAAAGCTGCTCTGCTTCGACCAAGCGACCATGAAGGCATCCAGAGGGTCCAAGTGTCTCTCTTGTCGCCACACTTTGCCCGTTCCCTTGCCATGGCCTGGGTATACTCGCTGACAAGTTTTTGCGAGGCATGAACCTGATTGAAGCTATCAGGGGTTGACATGTGCGAAGGCTAGCCATCCTGTTTACCTCTGCTGCCGTGCCACCCGCAGCTCCCTTACCTTACAAATTGACACGTGCTGGTGTCAAGTTCTACTCGCGCTTACACAAGCCCACTTCGCAATCATGCAGTCTGAAGATGAGACGCCAGGCGTGGTGGGTGCATCACGCTTGTCACGACCCACGGCGCCGATTGGCCGCGAGTCCCTGCCTTACGGCGCAACGTGGATGTGGGGCAGCCAGAGCTGGGTCGAGCTGAGATCCATGCCGGAGCCCTGCGGGGCGCTGGGGATCGAAGCGGCAGAGGAGCGCGGTGCTGCTTCGCGACTCCGAGCTGCGTCTCTGTCCCTGTCCCGGCTGTAGGCACTGACGGGAGGCGGTTCTCTGGGTCCTGACCGAGTGTACCGAGGCACTGGCATGGTGCTTCTAACACATGCTGCTGGGACATTGCGGCTTTCTGAATACAAGTCTAGACACTTGTCACACCGCGCTGTGTCGTGTCAAGGGTGCGGGTTGCGGCCCGATCTGCAGCCACCACAGTCAGTTCAACAGCAAGACTGCCATTCACAGCACAGGCCCCTCAGCCCGTCACCAGCTCCGTAATTGCGGTCATGCTGGGAATGGCCTCATGAGTTTCTAGGGCTTCTAAGATTGAAGGATGGCTACGAAGCTCTTGCATCAGCGATTCTATGAATACCGGCTACCGTGCTCATCGCTGTCAGCAAGTCGAGCGTGTCGCAATGCACCACGTATCGACATCTTGTATCCCAAAGCACAGACCGAGGGCCCTGCTGCCAGGTATTCGGCTTCCAGTCGCAGCATGGTTTCGCGACTCGGGCTGAAGATGTCCTTAGTGGCACGAGCACGGTCAAGTGCGTATTCTTTTCAAGTGACTCGTCGTGTCCAAAGTCGAGCTGGCATGCTGGATTGACAGGCTTGCCTTCCAAGATGCTTCTGTCACCGGCACTGTACAGATCCCGCTCAGGATACCGGTCTGAATGTCTGTCCCTGACAGCACTCGGAAACACGAGGTCATCAGAAGTCAGCTGCAGCTTCGATCATGATCCACAGCAGCCAACACGCAAGACCACAGATCAACGCTGCAGGCTCTGAGTCCCTGGCCTTTCGCGATCACCGCGTTCTCGCGGTGGATCTCGACCGCGCTCGTCGCGCGTGCCCCAAACGGAACCTGAAGCAGGATGTCATCCCGTCCAAGGGCGTGCTGCATGTTAAAAAAATTCACCTCTTGCTGCAGGATCCAATGGTTCAAGCAGCGTCGCGCAGGGTCGCCATATCTCTCTCTTTCCCGATCACCACCTCGCCTGAGCAGTGGACCAGGCGGCTTGGAGCATAAACAACCGGAAAACTGACGAACGACTTGAAATTGGGTTGAAATTTGGTACACGGAGTTGATAGCTACCATTGAGCACACCAGCTTCCTGGCAATGATCCTAGAACTTTTCCAAAATGGAGAGTCTCTCTCCTCCCGACCCCCCTTCTTCTGCCTATGGTGCACTCGGAAAAAGGCTCTCCCCCGCCTTTCGTCAACTCGCAGGGCCTTGGTCGGGCCTTGAGCGGCTTCCCGGAGCCCCTCCCGGAGAGGCCGCTTGGCAGGGCCGCTGGGGCCGCTTGGCCTCCGAGCACCAGGAATTCAGGAACTACACACTTTGCTTTCGCCTATAGGGCCGTGCACATAACATTGCTCGCTGGTTTTTTTTGGAGCATGCAAGCATAGCTTGCTTAACTAGAGTCGTTCGACGACTGCAGCTGGCGTAGCACCAGCATTCCAGGCCTCGCGGCACACAGACTCTTTTTTAGCCGCTTAGCCCTTCGGCTCAGGTGGGGCCCCCGCAACGCGAGGTGCGGGGCGGTTTCGCCTCCTTGGCCCGTCGACTGGGATTGCCGTCATGCTGCGTGGTGGCTGTGGTTGGTGCCAAGGCTTGGAGGCCACGTACATCGAGGAGACCATGAGTTGACGCAGGAGACTATTGGGACCAGTGCATTCTTCAACTATACCACAGCCAGGCTCCACCTTCTTCCAGCCATCATCCCATGCCACCCACACGCGCTTTGATGGCTCCAAGGTGCTAGCCATCACCTCGAACTCCTCCAACATCTCTTTAGACGGCGAGCCAGAGAAACCACTCATCTCTCTGGAAAACCGAATCTCCGCCTCCGGCAACGCAGTCAAAATAATCTTCAAACTGTCGGCGACGAAAAGGCGAGATCCTTTCCACTCGAAACCAGAAACAGTCTTCAAAGCCAGCAAATCCCTTGCTGCAGCTGGCTCCAACAACTTTCCACGTAGGCTTACGATCTGCACGCAGCTCTTGGACAGTCCTTCAAACAGATGGCGCAATGAATCCCACGACCAAGTGCCAGCTGTTAGAGCCAGCTCGCGCAAGCTTCTGCCAGCGTTGGGCAAAGCAGGGTCCACGAAGTTTAAGACATTCATCAGCGCCAATGCACGTACCATGTCGAACGACCCTGCAGGCGAGGAATCCCGAATTGGGCTTATTGCGATGTCTGCCACATGCAATTTCTGAAGGTGTTTAGAAAACCTCAGCGCATCCAGTATCAAGGGGAAAAGTTCACGCAGGGCATTTGGCTCATAGATTCCCAGTGACAACAAGGGAGGCCGGCCACAACTCCTCAAAGCAGTCGCCAATTCCATCAAGAGCTCATTTCTTGCTGCTCGCGGCTTCCCCCGTGCCAGAATCTCCGACATTTGGTGAGTCTCGATGCGGACGTGAAGTGCGAAATCACCTTTTTCAAACATCTTCCTGGCTGCTTGACAAGTCCTGCCCAAATGCCGCACCGTCCCGCTGCACAGCAAGCCCTCATACGCTGCGTATCGGCAGAATCGCAGGCCAGGGCTAGGGCGAGGTGCATGGTCCAGCATCGCATCCGATGATTAGGGCCCCAAAAAAGCACATAAGCAAAACTTAGTATCCGGATATCCCATATAAATCCCCTTATAATGAAGCCCAATAAGGTAGGGATGTCTCTATAAAAGCTTATGCTTATGTGCTTTTTGCGTCCCGAAATGATATCTAGTCTAACCACGGCTTCTGGATTTCCAGTCATGCCTGACTCACCTGACGGGTCGAAAATGTGTGGTGGCTAGGCTTGTCCTAATCTCTATGCTGCAATGCTGAAAAAACCAAACAGCCTCTGCTTCCTCACATGCTTGAGTCGTCGGAGGCATTGTATAGATTTGTGACGTAGGTATCTTTATCTGCAGAATTTCGCCATTCGTGAAGGAGTCGTGCTACATTCCCACTCGCAAGCTATGAGCCAAAAAGTGCACACGACGCGTACGACTCGCCCATAGTGCCAAAGCTTATGCAGTCTGAAAGGAGGATCTTGCAGCGGCGCACTGACAACCAAAATCATGGGGCGTAGGACTGACTGGCTCCTAGGACAAACAGCATGTCGAACTGTCTCGTTCCGGTTTACATGCGAATGTCCGCAATCGACGAAAGTAAATACTGTCTGCTGCGCTTGCAGTCACAGACAGATCTGACGTGCACATAATAACACCCAGACAACATCGACCGCCTCGTTCACGCCTGAAGGATCAAACTAAATGGAACTGCACATTTCCTGCTATCGTCACCGCCCTGTTAGATTGTTGATTCATGTCGCATTCATCCCTGATCCAATATGGCCTGCAGGCGACCAAATACCAAATCATGCACCGAATAGCACCGAAGAATATCAGAACGTGCAATGACTGCCCTGAACGAACGATCGCTGGGCAGTAACAGTAGCATCAAATCACTTGGACAATATTCCTCCCTCCAACCCACCCTGTCATGGCATTTCATGGCTTGCAAAAGTCGGGGCACCACATGTGAACGAGATCTACCGACAATAGGACGGCAGGGCCCGACGTGCATGATGCACCGGGGGGACTCTGTTGTCCTAGTTGCTTCCCTTCCGCTACCTAATCTTCATTTTTGAAGCTTGCTGTATGAGGTAACTGAACCAGCACCTGCACCCGTATGTGCAAACTTTATATATATATATACACACACACAAATCTGTCTGCATACACCGTATACATATACACATACGTGTCCGATCAAACTCCGGCTTGCCTGCTCCGTCGCTCCAGCGGTCGCAGCTCTTCCTTGCCTGCTTCGGCGAGTTCAGCCTGGGTGTGAAGTCCCACCGGTTTGAGAAGACACAGAGGTCTAGACATACATGCATCTGGCATTTGATGCATGATCTGTGTTGGACTTCCGAGCCTCTTTTGCAGCCTGCTTCTTCCTGGACAATGCGAGCTTCGCTGGGAAAAACAGCAGGCGCGCCAAGAGCCAAGACTCCGTGCCTGGCAGCTTCCCGCTCCTTCTCGGCACCCGGGAAACTGAGAGTTACGGTCTCATCCCCGGCCTGACACATGATTTACATATATATATATATATATATATGGTCTTGAGCAGTCGGGTGGCAGTCTAAATGCCGAGATGTGCAGACCAACCCACCCTGCTGTTTTGTGCAGCCGAGACCGCTCGCTGCGTAAGCTCACGGAGGTGAAAGGCGCAACCCAAGAACGAAGCCGCGATCTTGTCGCAACTATTTCGTGGGATTTGGTCACCACTGCTGCCGACTTAAATGACGTCACGGTCGGGGTCCCACTGCAGGTACAGAGTGCTCTGGGCAAGTACCCATCCCGGAGACAGGCACAAATAGCATGGAATGTTTGCATATCGCCACTCCTCATTCTGTTCCTTCACTGCTCGGATGACTCTGTGTCGAGCAAGCATCGAGTTGCTCCAGCCGCAACACAGCGCGACGCTAAACTGCGCCGAAGCGATTTGCAGATTGATGCGCTCGATGGCCAATCTCAAGACTGATGGGGGGATGCACAATTCGAAGTCCTGGCCTCAGATGGTGTACGACTGCGATGTTAAGGATATATGGAGCGAAAACCCGCGCAGATGGAACGCTGTCGCTATTACAGTCTTCCTACTTGCCTAACATCAGGGTGCTTCACAAAATCTTACACTGTCTTGCACAATGGAAATGGCGGAACCTGCACGTGTCTGTTCCCACCTTATCGGAGGCTGGCCCTATACTGTGTGTGGCCTCATGGAATTCGCCCCGCAAAGCCGAAAGAACTGTTGCCAAAACAGCCAGATTGGCTGAAACCTGCAGGGTAATGCTCAGTGGAAAAGAAGTCCGAGCCATCATCCTGGGCCAGCAGAGGAAGGGCCATGTAGAAGCTGTATGCGCCCTGACGCCGCACACGAACAATTCGAAGCTCTAGCAGCAGGGAGTCCTCGATATCCTAAGTTCAGCACACGGAAACAGACGCACACACAACCTCAAAGGATTCACAGTAGTGTTTGCAGCTGAGGCCAAGTCTTTCCGACACATGGGGCAGCTGGTTGAACGGATCTTTCGGCAGCAGTCTGTGCAAATAGTGTGTTTGCAGCTGAGAACTCGTACTTGTGGACCTCCCTCGTAGCAAATGCAGCACTCGTTCGCAGGACAGGCATCCATCTGCAGAGCTCTCCATGTGGGAGGGCTAGGTACAGACCACGCGGCCCGCCGATCTCGGCATCAAGGGCAAGACATGTGTGTCAAGCTGGTGCTGAGGCCCGGTACTTACAGGCAAACTTGATTGAGCCACTCATTGGCTTTCACGCATTGGCTGGCGTCAGTCGCAAGTATTCCAAGAAACACCTGACCTTGCCTTGCATTGCCCTTGGATAAAAGCGGCAAGGCTCCCCCATCCATGCTATCTGTCGCACAATCGCGCTGTCGCCTCAAGGGCTTGCATCCGCTCCCGTCGCAGTTGCCTTGGCATGCAAGGCAACCGATAAGAGCGTTGATTGTGATGAGGGTCAGCGCACGCTATCTGCAAAACTGTCTCACCGATGTTGTTTGCATTTGCTCTTCAAAGGCGGGCTGCTCCGTCGACTTCCTGGGAGGCAGATGGGACTCGACAGATACATGTCAGCGGCAAAACGTGCACTCAGCATTCACTGGACATGCGGAAGTTGAACAGCACTTGTCAAGCATCAGGAAATGCAACCAGGAGGTGTTCTCCGGAAGCTTGTGCTCCAGCAGGGCATTCTCAATGCAAACTGAGTCCTTCATTTTCGCACGAACTTATCACGAATTGCTGCATGCTGCAAGAATGCCCTCAACCAGCAGCTGTCGATGAAAGCTCCTAGACCCTGCCCCAGGTACGGCAAACACACCCATCCTCCACCAGGAGAATAACCTCTTCCGCAGTTTTGACCTTGAATTCCGACGTGATTTGAGGCGGGCCTAAACTCCCACACACCTGCCGGAAGGCAGTTATATTTTTCAATTGAGCATTGACTGTGAGCACTCTGGTGGCACTCGGTAATTGGCATCGTCAGAATCAAAGCGGAAGCCGAATGCAGAGAAAGCGGGCTTCATTGATTACGAATTTGATGCAGGCAAATGAGGGGAACGATGGGCAGCTACCGTCAGCTGATCGAGCCACCTCAACGGTGACTTTGAGCTGCAAAGATGAGCTGTGAGCTCTTAGGCTTCACTCGAACGTGGTTGGCCGCTCCAGCAATCGGTGAGGAACCCGCAACTGGCAACGTCTTCCACCTCCGGCCCCTCCTCGATCTTGTTGACCTTCGCATGGCTGTCTTCCTCCCCCTCCACCACCTCGACTTGGCTTACCTGAAAATGTCTGTGTGTCTGGGAGTCAAACTAAAAAGACCCTCCCTATTTGAGTCCCTGATAGAATGGAGGAAGGCGCCTCCTCCGTGGGCTCCTCCGTCTCTGCCTCGGAGGCTTTGGACTCGGTGCCCAGTTCGGCGGCCTTCGGCTCAAAGATCCTGGGCTGAGCCATGGCTGCGACGTTCTCAGGGGATTGCATCTGTGCTCTGGAAAGCTTGGAAACACAACCTGCTACGACTGCAGCATGCCGTGTCGGGCCTCAGGCAGAACCCTCAGAACATCTCGGCAGCGATTCGACCCTGAACCCGAGAGCCCGAAACAGAGCGCTCCGAAGACGGGGGCTGCGAGAACATCGAGTCTCGAGGCCGGGCTCATCCCGCTATACGATTCGGGTACGATGCCTCGTGCTCCAAAGAGCCGATGCCAATCACCCGGGCCACCTCTAATCGTCACCCTTTCACCCGCGTGGCGCCAGCACAGCAAGACAATGTAGTATCTCTGAAGCGGCACCCTATTATTCTTTGCGATGCCGAGCAGCAACGCTTTCTTACTGCGTAGTACTAAGTGGCTAGATGTTGGGAATGTGGCCGTGCGGAAGTGCCGGATGTAACCCCGCATGTCTTCAGGAACTATGTCAGTATGTCAGCTGATCGGAACTCGCTGAGGTTCGGTGCTTGTGCTGAAGGCTTGCTGCCCTGACAGCCCATGGCTCAGAAGGGCACAGAAAGGCGCTCCGGTATCTACGTTCTGGAAGCTGTCTTTGAAGCCGTCCCGGAGTGCTGCAGCTTCGAAAAACCTGCCTTGGAAGATGCTGCCGGTGGTGCCCAAGGCCCGGACTGCAAAGTCTTCAGGCTTGAAGTTCTTTTTGAAGTAGCATTTGTAGTAATGGGCCAGGTTGGACCTCGCAGCTGCAACTTCGGATGCCGACGCCCTATATACTATGACTGACTTCACCAAGTGGCTCGTCCAAGACTGCACCGCCAGTGTCATCGCGGAAGTGGTGTACCAGCAAGTGCAGCTCCACCTGCCAAGGCTTCGGCTGCAAAAGCAAGAGCAACATGACGTGATGCACAGAAGTCCAGCATGGAAATTTGCTCTGCCCGATTTGACCAACAGGAATCGTGGCAGGGACCGCCCTGGTGCTGAGGAGAAGCCAGTCCTAGGAATGCCGCCCGCTTTATGAAGGCTACTTCATGCGTTGCTCTTGCGTTTGTCTGCCTGCCTCGTATTCGAAATTCCCGAAGAGAGGCTCGCCCTCTCCGATATCCAGGATGTTCTCCACGCCGAAAACATCGAAGTTGGGATCAATGGAGGGGAGCTGTATGCCTTTGCTCTCCTGGACTTCAGGCGAGTCCGCCGAACTACTCGAGTGGCATGCGCTGTTCAACATAAGCTTGTCTTTGAGACCGATTCCGTTGTCGTTAGTGTTGGTGGTGCACCTCGCCTTCTCATCCCACTCCTGGAGCTGCTGGAGCACTTGGCGCCACTCCTCACTGACAGGCAGGCGCAACACCGTACAGTAGCAAACGATGCTTTCACATGTCCTCCTCGTTCAATACACGTCTAGAGACTCCGAAAACCTTGGAGGATCCAACTTGCCGAGCATCATCGTAAGCTTGGCGCCATTCACGTAGCTGCTTCTGCCACTTGGCCCACTCCGCCTCTGATTCCAAATCAAGGCCCGTCCAAGGATTCTTATAGGCTCATCGAGACCTTCAAGCAGCTCCTTCCTCCGTTCCTCCCTTCCTCGAAGCTATACTATTTTGGGAGTTCCTTATTATAGCTATAGTTAAGTAACTATTATAGTATAATAATATACCCAAAAACCCTACCCCTTCCACACCTGAAAGGCCGGCCCGGGTGTGACCGGCTCAAAGTCGGACATCTCCTCGCACGGAGGCAGGGGCCGAAAAAAATGCCTCGTCCTGGGCCAGGCTGGCCTGACCGTCGCTCGGCCATGGAGAGCAGAGGCCTCCAAAGTACATGGAGGCCCATGAAAAGCCCATGAAAGCTCTGAACTTATCTGCGGGCCTGTGCCTTGCGAAGCACGAGAGCCAGTGCTCGAGTGGGAAGGCTGCGGCACCAAGCAGCACGAAATTACTGCATGAGGATGTTTGGGGAATTCTGCACAAAGCAGGGCGAAGCGGTGCAAGCAAGCCCTGTTAGCCGCTTGCTTCCTCACGTCGCGTCCTTGCCGCTGCAGCAATTCTGCTCGCATACGGCCTGCAGCATTATACTCGTTGCGCAATAGCTTCTTTGACAGCCACACGGGAAAATCTTGCCTTCAGCAATATGTATGTGAAACGCTTCGGCTGCGAATTCTGAAACGTTCTGCAACCCATCCCAGATGCACATCCAACGCGGCGGGCTTCTATTCTAGAGGTGGAAGTTCCCATCCTTAGCTGCTACTTGCCACCCGCACACTCTGAGGGGACCTGAACAGCATGGAACGACTATATCGCAACCGTCAATCAGATCTCAGAGCAGTCACTACGGAGCAGCGATTGCAATCACAACTGTCTGGGGAGCACACGCTACGTGTTTGTGCTGGCGGAGGCCGGGAATAAGCTTGAAGCATGAGCGTCACTCTCTCCCGATCTTGGCAGCAGAGAAAATCAGGACTCCCAACTCCCAAAATTTCAACAGCCAAGCAGTTGAATCAGGACATGCGGTCGTGTCGTCATCCGCGCGGTCGGTGTAACGGTTGCGAGTCGGTTCGTGTCCCGGTCATGTCTTGGGCGTTGTTCCGGTCGTGTCGTGGTCGGTGTCCTGGTCGTATCCCGGTCGGTGTATCGGTCGCGTTGCGGTCAGTGTCCCGGTCGTGTCTTGATCGGGTGTCCCGTGTCCTGGTGGGTACTGCCCTGTCGGCGTCGTGGTCGGTGTCCCAATCGTGTGCCGGTCGGTGTTGTGGTCGGTCTTGCAGTCGGTGTCATCCTGGTCGTGGTAGTTTCGTGATTGCTTTCTCGAATGGTTGTCCTGGCCGACTTACGCCCTGCTTGGCCGGTGTTTTGGTCGTTGTCACAGTTGAGTCTCATGTGTCGGTTTGGTGGACGTAGTGTCTAGTTCCCAACGAGTTTGATTTTGGGAACGTGTTCCGGTTGTTATCCATGTCAGTGCATACGTATGTACATGCAAACACACGCAACAACAAAAAACGTGCAACATGCATACATGCAATCGTGCAGACTGACGTAAACATGTACACAGATGTAGATCTCATTCACCCGTGTACATTTTGCCGTGGAGACTGCACAAGCAGTTGAGATGTACGACTTGTTGCCGGCTTCCTTTGCTTTGCTGGCCCTAGGGCTAAGATGCACGAGTACGACTTGTTGCCGGTGTCTCGGTCTGGGAGTCTAAGGTGATTGCCGCAGCGCAAAATCTACGATTTGTTGCCGGTGTCTTGGGGTCACTGGTGCCCCAGGGCTGAGATGTTTGTTGCCGGTGTCTTCTGCTCCAACTGATGCCTAAGCACTAAGATGTGCGATTTGTTGCCGGGGACCTTCATGCTCAAGAGTCCGAAAGACTGACCGGCGGCGGGGCTAAACGGCCAAAAGCGCGCAATCGCCCGCTCGAGAAAAATAAAGTGTCCGTCGCAGGTCCAAGTCTTCACAGGGTGCGGGACACAATTGACAATGCAGTTTCCACCTTCTCACAGCAGTTGAAACCAGAGTATTTTTGGCTTGATATTGGGCGCCGTGGCTGAGTTGATGTTGCCGTATGAGCTATGCTGCAATGTTCCTGTCTGAGCCACGTGCTGGGATGATCCCAAGGCACCTTCAGCAGGTGACACATACAGTAGGCAGACGAGCTGAAGCGTGAGGTCGAAACACAAGTCTCCTTGGGCCGCTGCGATATCTACTGCTCTCTTGTTGTCGGGGCCTACTCAGGTCAGCAATGCAAGCATGGCTAAGCATGGCAAGCTGAAGCTTGAGGTTGGGCGATGAAAGTTCGCCGCGAGTTGGTTCGATTTCGTCGGTTAGGCTGTAAGAGATCAAGCCTGGCTGAGGGATCAAATGTCTGGGATCAAACACAAAAAATCAAAATAGGGATCAACAAATCAAAATATCATAACTCCTGGAGGGTCATTATACGATATACTCAAGATTAACAACCTTCGGATCAAAACAAATTCAAACAGGGATCAAAACAACATACATCAAGGATGCAGCACCGTGGGGCGTTGACATTTGGGGGATCTTGTTTTCTTCGTGCGGAGCTTGGGGGGACAGAGACACGATGCCATGAGGGGCGGTGGTTGGGGTCGCAGTAGTATTGGCCGTGGAAGTATGCGTATCCCATAAGGACAGTAACAGTAAGACCAACAGGCAATAGTAACAGTGAAGGCAAAAAATGACAATAGTCGTATTCCAAACGCTAAAGGTTATAAGAGCGATAAATACTAGTAGCTATAAACAATAATCAGCATGGGCATCAGCATCATCAGCAGCATCATGATCACCATAGCCATAGTCATAGCAACAGTAATTATACCAAAAATGGTAATGCTGAGTGTTTTTCATTTTTGCTGTACTAGACAAAGCGCGGGATACATGAATGGTGCCGGTGACAGTAACAGCAACAGGAACAGTAAACGCAATAGCAATGGAGCCACTCTAGCCGAACATTGAGATCTCTAGATGACAGGATCGGTTCTGAATTGTGGTCCAAATACTGTAATTTTCTTTTCAGAGTTTGATACGCTTGTTGATCTCCATTTTTGGTTTGATACCTATCCCGTCAAGCCTGGTGCGCTGACGTTAGCTCGATTCCGGAGCAAAAGCGAGACTGCACGAGGATCGGCCTGCTGAGGAACATGCTGTCTTAATTTCATGATGTCAGGACCAGTTCTGAAAAATCTGAGTTCATAGCCCTCCGTGCTGCGCCATGTAGAGGTGCTTGTTGCACACGGTCTGTGGCGTTTGGGTCGGCCTGAAGATTAGATTCTGTCATTGCCGGCTCTGACAGCGAGATGTCTTTGCTAAGCTGCTCACATCGCGGTCCAGAAGGGCCTCCATGCCTTCAAACCATGCCATGCGTGACCTTCGTGCGTGTTGGAGGCCAACTATCAGCACACAGATCCTGCATCACATGCGGGTGCACATGGGAGGCTCTGAGACACAGGCGCAACATGCAAGGCCGTGCCACCTGGCAAACAAGCGGCCCGAACTACTCGTCTTTTGGCTCCTGCTCAGCTAACCCACATCATCTGCCCACACGAGCATGTGCACGCTCGCTGCTGTCGCCTCCCAACAATTCATTCCGGGAGTTGATGTTAGCACCGTACCTGCAGTGCTTGCACGAGAGCTGTACAAACGGAATATGAACGAGACCGCGAAAATTGCGAAAAGACCTGCACACATGACAAGTCAGCATCCTGCCTGAGCAGGAAATGCATTGCCTGGGAGACGTGATGCTAGAAACCGTGTGCTTTCAAGTCGGTAGGGCGGATGGGGAGGCAACTGGAATCTGCAACACCCCTCCCTGCATCACCTGTCTTTTTGAATTCTCGCAGCTTTCTTGTAGTCGCAGCCAGAGTTCAGTGCAGTGCACAGGGAGGATGCCATGGCACTGCTCACAATCTCCCCTCAATATCGGAGAGTGCAGCCTGTATCATCACTAGGCGCAAAAATTAGCCTGGGCCAAGCTCGCACTGAGCTGAAGCAACCTGCATTCTGGATGACTGTGGTAATCTTGAAGCTAGAAGCATGGCTCCGAGAGTACAGATTGCTCATAATCAGTGCCTGGAAGAAACATGGCTGTGCTGCCGCTGCAAGCGGCAGAAAAAACGAGTGAAACACTCTCGCAGTGGGGACTGTACTGGACGGCCTGCTGCGAGGACAAGCCCAGTACCAGGCCTGTTCCCACAGGCCTGTGCTTGTGGTCTTCAACCGCAAGAGCTCGAATCAATGGCTGGACCGCATAGGAGGCGGCGGCCTCGCTTTGCGCAACACGACTGTGCATGGTCCCCACGAGATAGAGTTGGAACCAGACAAGGGCCTAGTACGCAGGCTCTTTCAGCAAAGCAGGAAGCCAATCTGGGTCGGTTGTCAAGAGGGCGAATCCCTAAAAGTAATTACGTAGTTGGCGCAGGAATTGAAGCCCGAACTCTGCCAGAGGGGTATGTATTACATTCCCGCCAAGGATCTGTCCACGTTCCTGTGCGATCCACTGGTGAAGAGCTTCCTCAAGGTCATCCAGCCGAATGTTCCAAGCCCCAGCAGAATCTGGCTCGTACTGCACAGCCTGATAGCAAGCCAGATGGGACATATGTGCGAGGTAGCCTTGCCTTGAAGCTTCGCTTGCACCTCACTTTCCTGTTGAGACACCCTGTAGAACTTCATGCTCGCCGCAGACCCGCCGTACCAGAAGCCTCCGACAGGGATGCGGCGAGCTTTTTCCATTATTCGGCCCCTGTGCCCTTAAAGTGCAGCGGAGCATCTCTTGTAGGGCGGCCAGTATCCTTGTGGTCCGGCCGGGATGACAAGTGCAGGCACGCGCTAGACTTTACTATTGTCATTATTATTATCATAATTATAATACTGATTACTATTATTATAATGATTGATCCAAACTCAAGAAGTCTTGCCTGGCTGTCCGGCATGGGCTTGTGAGCTTCCGACGAATTCAATGACGCCTGGCTCCATCGTCCGCACAGCTGGGGAAATCTGGCTATTAACTGCAACTGAACGACGTCAACAGTTCTCCGGCATGCTTGAGCTTAGGGTCCAGAAATCGGGGGACTGCAACGCCCGACGTCTTGCCCGGAGCTACGCCACCACAACGGACTTGGCCCACGTGCTTCGGGCCTGCATCCGACTTGACGAACATTGCATTGGCCAGTGCTCCCCCATGCTCTGCCAGAACAAGGCGCGCTGTTCGAACCTGAAGGGGGCATCAATCGCGGCTGGATACTGGCAGCCAACTTGACATCACAATTTCGATTCAAACATCTCGATTGAGCACTGAGAGCGCTCAAAAGATGCGCGCCTCTCGGATTTGATCCACGGCATCCATGCGGCCTGACTACTTACTAACCTCTGACGCAGTGGAGGATTGGTTGGGTCATCTGACCATGCGCAGATGCGGCCACCGTCCACAGCGGATATGCCTGGCCTGGACAGATTGACACCAGCTCTTCTGTGCGATTCGATTCCAGCAATACCTCACTCAGGATGCAGTTGGCAACACAAAATATCTGGCACCCTGCAACTCTGCTATCACTTGTATTGCTGCGGCCACTGTGGAACTGCAGGTTTGTAGTACTTAGAGACAGCTGCCGTGACAGCTTTGGCGCAATGAAGACCGGCCACTCGGCTTGCCGTCGCCAAAGCCATCTGTTCGTTGATGATTGGACGACGGGCATTGCAGCGCTGCAAGAAAATGACCCGGGCCGGCAATGCTGCAAGGTCCTCTGCATTTGGGGTGGACGTGGTGCAGAGACGCACGCACGCACTCACACTCACACTCACACCTACACTCACGCTCACTCACTCAATAGAGTTGGAAGGGGATCACTCATGGACCATGGCAGATGTCTCCTGCTGGCTGTGAAAAGCAACTGAGATTTGCTGTTCCTACACGTGTATAGATAACGCTGGCTGATGCCACCCCGCTTTCTACTCAGATCCACTCAGACAATCCACTTGGTTTGCATAGCCTACCACTGTGAGGACAAGCACGGTAGGTGATCCCAACATCCCAGCCGAAATCACACCACACACCTGGCCATGGCTTCAAGATCCCTCGTGAAGGAGGACAAACGGACTAAGGCTTCGAACCCCGACACTGGCCACCCACCCTTTGCGCTCGGCCAGGGGGTTGAGGAACGCAAAGCAACTTCCTCCATGCCAGCCCGCTCTGCAATCGCTTGAGCCATCTCAGGCCCGACCTGTGTCAAAGATGCGCTGGAGTCATGCGGGCACACACAAAAGACAACTGAACGGCCTGCCAGTTGATCATTCGGTGCCAAAGGTCTGCATCAGGTCTGCCTCAACTTTCCAACTCTCGTCCTCACACCCTGCCAGACACGGTCACCGTTTGCCACACATGACTTCATCTCATCTACTGCAGTTTGCCGCCGCGGGCGCTGTCTCCAAAGGCGAAGGTCGGTAGAGGATGCCCATCGTCAGAGACCCGCCAAAGGTGCATAGTGCGGCTCGGAGCCACACAAACAAGAAGCTCGTCAGATCTGTTTTCACCAGGGAAGGGGAGTTCGAAGATGTTGGCCTCGGCCATGGCTGGTGACGCATGCGGCCCCGCACTGAGCGCAAATCGCAAAGAATCTGCCAAGGCAGCTGGGAGGCTTTGTCGACTCCAAGGAGTTGCAGGAACTCTGTTTGGACTTTGTGGTGGGTCAAAATCTTCCTCAGCTCTTATGGAATGCACTAGCAGGTGCATGCAGGCTTGACTGATGTCAGGTCGGGCTCTCAATGAAGCTTTCCAAGCTTCTTGGAAGAGTTCCTGACGGTGTCCAAAGCTGTCCATGCTTGCGGCACGAAGTCCAGCAGAGTGTGCTGGTAAGCCATCCTCGGATGTGCACACTGACGCTGCTCCGTGTTGAGACGCAGGACGGCCACTGCACAGGACCAGCAGCTACAGAGCAGATCTCACTCTGCCACATGCGGCTGCCTGTGCATTTCATACTGAGCAGGCGAAGAGATTTGGAGCCCAGGTGCCCTGCAGGAAAGCGCAGGCTGGGAATCACAAGCCTCGGATTAAACGCACGTCCAAGCGGCGGCCAAAGGACGCATCGCCGAGTAAGATTGCAGTTCCAATACAAGCTAGCTCGTCATGAAAGTGGCGCAATACTGTTCGAGCATGAGCAGTGGAGAAGCGAAGCACGACTTGAAGAAGTAATAACAAACGTGGATGAGTAAGTTTGCCGCTCAGCTGCTGGAGAATACGGCACGCTTAGCTTTTGGCGGATTTTAGCGATACCAACCGACAGTGCCTGCGCATCTACAGTCAGCACCGTGCGCGAGAAGGAGCTTGCAGCGCCTGTAAGGACCCCCAACACGAAAGTCCTGGGTCAGGCTTGTCCCAGCTATCGTCTCTGCGTGTTCCAAGCAGCAGATCCGAGTCCACTTCGACCACTCCGAGCTGACTCCAATCTTCAACTGCTCGGCAAGCACTGTCGCATCGCCTACAGTGGAAGCTTCAGTGATTTCAGTGCGGTTCGCAAGATTCCTCGCAAATTCCAGGGGAGGGCTGCTCAGCTGCTCTCACCGATTCTCCACCTCTCAACGCCAAACTGTCACCACCCCCAATTCTATGGCCTGTACAGGGACTCCGCGTGTGTCGTATTCACCGCAAGCCGCAGCTGTGGCCACGGATACCTTGAAGCGATGCGCCACGGGTCGCTTGCAAGAGTGGGGCTTACAATATACAGATGTTTACAGTAAGTTTACAGGGGGTGGTCAGGGCAGCTTTATGCGGCTGCGGCTGGGTCGCGCGTTGATGCATCCAGCTCTCAGCTCTGCCAGCTCAGCAGTCAAAGCCACAGAAGGATCCACAATGAAAGTGTGTGCGGCCGTTTGGCATGCATAAGTTTCGTACGTGTTCAACACGTCCTGGCTTCCTTAGATATCGAGCAACCCCCGCGCTTTCTGGACTTTTTGTCTCGGCGTCGACATCCTTCTGGATGCAGCCGAGCCACTGGACACCAACTCTGGAAAATGTCGACCGATCTCACTGCAGCGGCTGGGGTGGCGCACAGGCATTGCCGGAAACTTGCGGATTCCCCGCCAATTCAGTGGCTTGGCAGTGGCCGAGTTGGCGAGCAGATTCTTCGTGTCACGGATGACGGACTCAGTGTCAGACATGCGGCGACCTTCGGACTGGCCTGGAGCTTGCAGACGAGCTGCCGAGGCTGAGGTCGCCGTGCTCTTGACTTGCATGAGGTAACGTCCCAGGCTGGGCAGAGCCGCAGGTGCACAATGTCCCTCACTGAGAGACCTGCAAGAGGATTCTCTGAAGTCGCCCTGTCACATTCTGCTTTACTTCCGTGGCTCTCGGACAGGAGAAACTTGCGCTGCCGCAGCAGTCGACCGCGGCCATGACGTAAAGTTGCTTCTTGGAAGGCCGAGACGAACGCTCAGAGCTACGGCAACTGTTGAGGCTTGCGAATCAAGCCGTGCACACACGAGAAACTGTGCCGGGCATCACCATTGACGATCAGGCCTAAACACAGTAAAAACACAGGCAGTCAACCGGCATGAAGGGCAATCTGTCTGGAGGTGCAATAGCATCTCTACATACATGTAAAAGCTCTGGAGTGTCGCTACGAAACTCCTACATCGTGAATCCGCCGGAACTCGTTCAGAAGAGGACCCTTGGGGCCAATAGAGTGTAAGGGGGCATCTCTCTCTCCCCTGGATTCTCCCACCACGGCCTGGGAAGCGGCTGCATCTCACCTCAGCTCAGAAAAGATTTCTTGCTCCGTCCAGCCACCTTGTGTCACTGTGGATCTCTGAAAATCTCTCTGCACTTATGTCAGCCGTGGTTCCACAAACACGGAAAGTGATCTGAAACTCTACGCCTGTTGGAAACCACGGCATGTACATCTGTCTTGGCGGAAGAGTGGCACCAGAAACGACGACCGCATGCTGAAGAAAACTATGCAAAAATCGGGGAAGTGAACGCTGCTTCCGAACGGACCTGAAGTGCCATGGCACCGACACTGACCTATGCAGCTCCCTAGTAGCTTTGTTGCAAAAAGCAGAATGCTAGAATCTGCTAGACAGTAAGAGTAGACAGCAGGGCATGCAAGAAATGCACAAACAGCAACAGCAACGCTCCTAGCTTCGGGACCACCCGTGGCTCGCACAAGACCTGGCCTGGAAACAAGCTGCCACGACAAACCTGGAGGCTACAGACTTGATTTCGCATGAACCTTTGCCAATTTGCGTTGCATGGAGAAGACGCAAGTTGCGATTGCAGCCGCGAGCTCGCCGCACGAATTCGAAGCTTCTGAACGTCACAATTAGTCTGGCGCATGTTTCAAACTCCGGTTCGACTAAGACCTGGTTGGTTTCGCTTCGAGTTAGAATCCATGTCACCATGTCCAGCAAGGCTTGATAAGGCTTGTAAAAGGGGTCGGCTCTAATCAGCTTCGCGAACCTTGGGACACGGAAGTGTTCAGCGTAGTTTTCGAAAAACGCCGCTGAGTCCACACCTATCGTCAGTTATGTATGGCTTTACTTCAGGGATTCAGGGATGAAGCATCGTGAACAGCAAACTTGGGTTCTGGCACGGTCCATGCAACGGCTCACAGATGGCCGCAGGCAGCAGCAGTAGGAGATGAAGCCAGTGCCATATCCATGCGATCATCCGCAATCGGATCAGCTGGCCAAGCTCCTGGGCGAAAAATCTCGGGCCAGCTGGTCAAAGCTTCGCGACCGGAACAACTTGCAGGTTAATTTGTCCTGAAGCCGAGCAGCGTTTCTGAAACCAGCGAAATGGGCTGGAGGCAGTAATACGTAAGATGATCAGAAAGTGAGCCGAAGCGGCTGCCACACAGGGGTCAACGTATTTCGTTTCGACTGCGGTGGAGCTACGCGTCCTGCTTGCTTGTCTCTCAGGTCTCTGCGCCGTGGTGCTGTGCCGCCACTGCGAGGTGCAGAGCGTTCCAGCCAGTGACGTTGCCAACATCCAGAAGGCCTGTGTGTCTGAGGCCGGTTTCTCATTCCCAACTTAGGCCCCCCACTTAACGGTCTGTGGCTGCCATAACATGACGAGACCCTAACTAAAGCTAAGGGCGGCAGAAGCGAAGGCGGCCTTGCCTCGTGCTTTCGTGGGCTCCGCCTGAGTCTCAAGGTCTCAGGCATGGTGCCCCTTGCGTGCTGGACCTTCCTGCAACTCCTAGTGTAGCTTTGCAGAAGGTGGAATGTACTATCCGAAATCGCAAGCGGAGGTTGGCGATAAAGGGCACTGAACTGATATCACGAACACTATTAGCAACGCTGCAATGACTTCTGCCGCTCATGGAATCTCCACTGCAGCACGCCATCTGCAATCCTTGCTTCCAGGGTGTCCGAGTCTGCTTGCAATACACCAGCAGGAGTTTTGCGGAGGAGTGAGTACTCACTGCGGTCTTGTCGACTGGCTTCCCATGAAGACACCTGCTGAGACCTGCAAAGCCTGATGCTTTTCGGATCCTCTTTTGTCGCGAAGTGAAACCAGATCAAGCTGAAAGTGAGAAAACAAATACACTTCCCAAAGATGTTTCGATACTAGTTCGAGCGAATTGCTGTCATGCTATCTCCGCTAAGGTGCCTCGTCGATACCGACTGCCAGTCTCATACTGGGTAGCTGTGCTACGGATTGCTACGCTTACTACGGAAATGACGAAGCTGGATAATGGTGCGTTTGTCTGTTGTATCAAAGGCCCTCGAGCGCTTCGAGGTAGAAACTAGGAAAGCCTGTTCCACCAGCATGTGCCTGGCATCCGAGTTTGGATGCGACGTGGCTTTGGATTAGAACTGAGTATTCGAACCTGCATGCGGCTTGTAAACACAACAAACCCGCCTCCACGCTGCACGGGATCCTAAAAGCCCTATGCTCGAAGTAATTCGGAATGTCTTCTTCTTGCTAGCTGTGTGATGCTTCCGTTTAGGCGCGGGAGCATGTTTCAGTTTGTCGCGGATCTCTCTTGGCCAGATGGCTAGATTGCCGCAGCAAGGGCTTGTGATCAGCAAACAGAAACCGGAAAGGCTGAACTTGCACCAAGAGAGGTACGGCTGTGACATGTTTGAGCTCCGGGCGAGAAGGCGCAAGACAATGTCATAGCCCCCCTGCCAGGCCGATTCTAAGGTCTGTCACATCTGGCTCTCTCGAGCTCTCATGCACCTTTCAGACTTCAAGCGAAGCCTGAGCAGCGAAATGGAGAGGCAGCTCCGAGCGGTAGACCTGACTTCTGTGCCCAATGTTTCTGGAACGTCAGAGTTACCAAGAAACTTGGGTGCCAGCCGTGGAGAGTGAGACATCTGCTCGAGACTGGCAAGTCAGACGAAGCTGCTTCAGTGGAACTTTCGGGACACTTGGCACTCAAAAATGCCTCGAGCAACAAAGCCACCATCTCGGCGTTGCCTCGCCACGAAGCCAGAGCGAGGCGGCATTGATCGTACCATTTCGCAATTGCAACCGCTCAACTGCCTGCTGCAGTCGCCACGTGCAGCGAAGTGTAGCCTGAGACATGGAGTGAAGACTCGGTACATGCAGAGGTGCGGAGAATCATCGCGGCACCGCTCGAATTCTCAGATGGCTGCCATCGATACTTCGTTGGTTCACATCCTCCCCCACCCAACAACAAGCACCAACAACACTTAGCCGAGCCGTCCCCAAGACAGGCCCAAAAGCCGGTCCACTGCCACGAGACGTTCCAATGCAACTGGCTCTTCTTTCTGCAGCCGGCGTCCCTCACGCAGGATTCAACAGCGACTCAGTACAGACATCCTCAAAAACGCAACGCGCATGGGCCATATAAGTTGATGTTGTGCTCACTTGCTCGGTGGCCTTGCCCGCCAGCTGCAGGCCATACACCTCAAACGCTGCCACACCGGAAGAAGTCTGCGTCTCAGCTACGCACACCCGTCGCTTTCACCTTTCAGCCCTCGACCGACGGCACCGACTCCTGCGCACGCCTCATGGATTGGGCACCCTCCTCCATTTCGACCCGGACGGCCTCGTGTGCTGTCGAGCGAGTAGAATTGTTAAGGTGTAACAGTAACACAAGATTCATCAACTGCCTCTGAGTATGGTGGTTTTTGGTTTGTCATTTGGCCGGCGTGAGACTTCGCTGAATGCTGCCATCGCTTTATAGGACCACCGAACCCCGAGACGCTGGTCTTAAATTTACACGAGGCACCTCATCTAAGCAGGTTGGATGCTTTCGCTAAGAACATGCGTAGATCTAGAAAGAGAAAACACCCGCTGGGAGTAGAGCCTGCCAGCTCAAGGGTTCAACTAGACTAGATGGCATCAGAGGTCCGAGCCTGGAGGAATTCCTCATCTGGCCGCGGCCCATCGTACTTGATATACCTGAAACTTGCACCGTTTGCCCGGCGGCTGACATCACAGATCCTCCTTCCAAGACGTGGACGTGACCGGCGGCGCCTGCCAAACTTTCATGAGTCAGACGTGCTTGCCTGTCGACGTACCTAGTAGTAGCAGCCAGAAAGGTGCAGCTTTTCTACGACAGTCGGCACCAGAACGAAGAATGTGGACGAATGTCTCTTCAAGAGAGAGCTGCTTCTGCCGAAAGCAGCCCAACTCCAGAGAACAAGCACAAGGACTGACCGTTTGTTCAGATATGGTTGCCAACGTGCACACCCGTTCTGCTGTGCTCGAACCACATGCGACAGAGGCTCCAGCGGGATTGCAACAAGTGCAGCCGGCTGCAAATCCACCAGCCAGATGCCGCAGAAAGGACGTCTGGCAAGGGACGCCTTACGAAGGCCCTGAATCTACTACTCTGGCAAAAGCCACGGCTTGTCTTCTCCAGTTCCACTGAGAGTAACGTCAGATGCAAGAGCTAGGCAGAACCACTGGCTGAGAACTCGTCCCGATTGGACACGATGGGCTCGTCTGAGGTACACTCCTACGCTGCCAGGCGCCTTCCAACTGGACCACGCGATGGGACCTGCACGACATCTCTCCATCGCCCAACAGGTTGTGCATGGAGTCGGTCGTCATTCCGTGAAAGGTGGCATGGCGCCACAGTAAGAAGAGCGCCGATTGCCGTCACTACTGCCCAGGATCCAACATGTCAGTGCAAACCTCAAGGTGGAAAAACATCGAAGCTTGATTTTGAAAACCTACGTAACCTGCAGAGAAATCTTCGTAGCGCTTGCCCTCTGTTCCTCCCTTTCTCGCATGCTTGTGCACAGAGAGGCAAACGCCCGGCACGAGAGCACCGAGGACTGAGGACCCGTTCGCCTCTGACGCTCTCTCACGCGTTCACTCCTTCGGAGGCCAGGTATGGAAACGTGGTCGAGGCTTCGTCTCTGGCACACTTGCAAGCCAAAGCTTATCCCAGTCAGGCAAAGTCTGACTGGAGTTGTGACTGGAGAACGGCACTTGGACAGGTCTGTTTGTACCCATTCTGACGACAGTCACCCAGGAAGTCGATCAGAGGAATGACCATGTTCCATGAGGCAGAATGTTCTTTCGGACGGGAGTCATGAAGCACTGCAAACCCCAAAAAGAAGAACACCGGAACAGAACTTGCCTTCCCCCGAAGAACGGTGTTCGGGTGTTTGAGAGAAAGTCAACCCGCTAGCAGCACCGTACCCCACGCGTTACTGCGCACCTCAATACTTGAGGGTTGGAGTGACACTTCGGCAGACGACGACTGACCCACAACCCCCAGAGCTAGACCCCAACGAGCCTGATGAATAAGCTTGCAGCCCCCCTTTGAGCGACGTCTGACTCTCAGCCTGGAGCCCGGCACTGCATGAACAACAGCTATTCACGACATGATTGTGCCCGGGCCCCCCTGCGAGCACCCTCAACTTACGAACTACCTGGTGACTATATATAAGCGGTGCACGGCAGGGCAAGCAAGACGCACGACAAGGCAAAGCATACAAGTCCCTCCCTGCCCGGTTACCATCGCTCTCTCTCTCTCTCTCACTCTCCTCTCTGTCTCTCTCCTCCTCCAAGCTGAAGAGGAGGCGACGGTGTTTAGCCTCCCTACACTACACGAAACCGCTAACATTACGTGTTGAAGAGAAGCTGGCCTGTTGCGCCCACGAGGTGGAAGCACTTGGTGTTGTACAACGCGCGAGTCGAAGATCACCAGAGTCCCACCCTTTGGCAAGATGTCCGTGTAATCTCGCCAGTGGCCTGCATTGTCTTCCGCATCGAACCACTGCATGCCATGGTAGACACGAAGTTCGCCGCCTTCTGCGCCTAATGGGTTTTCAAGGCTGGCACAATTTCGTCCTGAAGCGCCACAAAGTGGACAGCCAAGGCGCACCTGTCCAGTGGGGATCGTTCAGATACACCATGGCCGTGAGCACTCGGGAACGGCTCCCGCTTGCACGCAGCCAGCCCAATACGCCCAGTTCAGCCATCGACTGAAAATTGCAATCCAGGTGTCTGCCAGGGAAAACGGCGAGTCTGTCCTACCGACTGCAGACTCCAGAAACTCGTTTGCAGCCTGTTTATACGAGCTGAGCTGTGTATATATATCTATATATATATTTATTTATTTATTTATTTATTTTTATATGTACACATACATATATATATGTTATATATATATATGTGTATTATATACTCGAGTATAACGTCCTGCATAGATTCCCCAGCCGCCGCCTTGCATAGCCGCGAGCCGCAGATCTTCCTCTGAAGCAGCTAAGCTGTAGAAGAAGGGGAACGCCATGCGACCTCGAGCCCCTGTAGCCATGCTGTTCCACGGCAGATGCCACGCCACGCAGAAGCTCTACACACTGCGCCAGGCCTGGTAGACACAGAAAGGGAGGGCTTGGCTGCTATTGAAACCACTGCAGCACCCGGCTTTTCTTCTAGACGCTCGCCGCACCTCCTGTTGTGGTCTCATCAGCACTGGAGATCCAAAGCACCACGTCATCTCGGACCTTCCTTGGAGCTCGGAAGTTGCTTGGAGCTTGGCAGGTCAACACGGAACCAATTTCCAAGCTGAAGCACTGGCCACGATTGCTGGATGCCAGGAAGTGGCCTGCGGCCAAGCTCTTGGCCGCCCGATGGCGAGCTTCTTCGAGAGCAGCAGCCCCCAAGACCTCACTCGCGTGGCCGTCTTGGGAATACATCGGTGCCTTTCTTGGGGTCTCAGTCAGTTTAAGCAAGACAGGATAGCTCAGGAAAGGGCTTGCTGCACGGCGCCTTCAATGACCACGAAAGCCTGAGGAAGACTTGAGTTTCGATCATCTTCTGTCTTCTGTTCATGCGCTACCAAGTGAAAGCAAAAGCAAGAGCTCCTATTAATCTAGACGATACTTGTCCTCGTCATTACAACAGTTCTTCGAGTGCCCCAGGTAGGGGGTGTCAGGAGCTCATGAAGTATACGATAACGACGATGGGAGTATGTATGCTCTCAAGGACAAGTTTCCCCCGTAGTAATGTACTGACTGATGTTCCGGCATGGCCTGAAATAAACATGTAAGAAGGACAATGATCACGAACATCATCAGGCACACTTCCCCTCTGCAGAGAGGATGGGAGAAGATCGGTGGGGCTCTCGCTCTCGCTCTCTCTCTCTCTCTCTTTCTTTCTTTCTTTCTTTCCACAGGGTTGTGGTCTCTCTCTCTCTCTCTCTCTGTCAGGGGCAAGGAGAACGTGCGAAGTTCCCCGGTCAAGCGGCCCACCCATGCGTTCGTGGGCGACTCCTTCGAGGGACTGTGACACGGCAACTTGAGTCTTCGAGGAAAATGCAAGTAATGATTTTCAACTTGTGTGTTTCCTCGAGCTCAAGCTGGTCCAGGACATCAGCTTCAGCTCTCTCGCTCTCTCTCTCTCTCTCTCTCTCTGTACTCTGGATTCTTGGGTGCTCTTGCGGCTCAAGACCAAGCCCTGCCCCCGAAACGGAAGCAAAGAGCATGGTGGTCCGCCACACTGTCTGCCACCCCAGAGCTTCCTATTCGCCGTCGGTGCCACGGGGAGGCGAAGGCTTGGCATGTCTGACCAAGGCAGAACCCTGCGCCCTGCGCCGGCCTGGGACTCGAGCGCCCGAACATGCTCTGCTGTGATCACGGCGCACAGTCCAGGATGGTGACAGGAGCTGCTTCTCTCGGCTTCTGGCATGAACATCCTGAGCGGAAAGAGATGAGAGTCTGACTAGAGGTATCCGACCGGAGAACCCGGCAACCATCAGCTTCGAATTCAGCTGGGCTTCGTGGGGGTGAGACCCACGCCCGCCATAGCGGTTCCTGCGACTGCGATGGTGCTTCCAGCTGCCCAGCGATGTGAAAGCAGTCGAGGTAGCATGGCAACGGCAACTAGGCGCGCTCCCGTCCTGTCTCTCCTGCAGCATCTGGCCACGGCTACGCTATGTGCGTAGGACTGGGCTGTGCTTGGATGTACATTCAGCTGTCACTGCGTGCTACTGCTACGTCTGCATCGGCTTGAGATGGCGAGTAATTTGGGAGAAGGCATATAGACCAAGCAACTCCTTCCCTGCGTGCATCTTCTTTGGCAAAACCTCAACTCTGCTGCAACAGTGCTGCGACAAAGCCTCCCATCTCTGGGCTCGGGAATCAGGCTTCCGCGTTCTCTCCTCGCAGTTTACCGCGCGCATCTTTGCCGTCAAGCATTACCCTACTGAGCCCTACTGCACAGTCGTGGGGTCCAGGTTGATCACGTGCACACACTCGTTCACACCGAGACGACACACGCTCAAAGGCGCCTTAGTCGGCCTGAGCTCGTCATCCTCGCCAGAGTACGTAGACAAAGAGCTCGCCTCACGGGTGCACGATGCGTTTTACGTCCCATATGTCCCATCTGGTGACAACACCGAGCCCAAAGCCAAGGAACTCTTGCTCCTTAAAACAGCAGACGTGAGATTTACACATGCTTGGCTGCACATATAAGCGAAGTGCAGGCTCTTCTTCAGCCCTCGCTTGGGCGACTTGGACTTGGATGGCATTCGGATAGGAAATGTAACGGCGGCAGGGCTCCCCGTGTCATGATGGACATAGCCTCGACCTGGGCTATGTCTATGTGATGCCAGCACATTGTAGGCACTTGTAACTTGTTCTACTCTGCGCAGTCAAACGTGTGGATGCGCATGTTGGGTGAGACAGTTCCTGTTCGGGCCGATTCGGTGTTGGGCAGTGAGACACAGCAAGCAATCTAATATAATCTAATGCTGTCTCGAGACACATGATGTGCCAATGGATTCAGCAAAGCAGGCACCCGGACATTGGATGTTTGCCGCGTAGGGGAGCTGTTGTGCACAGCATGCCATTCGCCACAACTGAATGGTGAAACGAATAGTCGAGAAGTCACACAGAGCTGTGGAAGATGCGCGCCCGAGCTTCCGCGAGTTCCCCACCTCAGCCACGCCGTACGCTACGACTCATGTTGAAGGAGGCTGTTGCGCCATAGTGTACCAGATTGTGCCAGATATGGAATATTCTCAGGAATCCTGGTACAGGCAATGACTTTACCACTGCGAAGTGTGCTGGCGAGCAGGGTTCCAAGGTCTTGCGTGAAGATGAACACACGGAGCCTTTCGGGTCATGGAGGTCTCTGAGGCTGGGCCGCAACATACGCATGCCTGCTGCATGTGACCAAGGTTTTGCACGCCCTGTAAGGGTCTTTGAAGGTAGCAAAGGAAAGGAAGGGACGAATGTTACACTCTATGCAGTTGCTCGGGCATCCAGTGTCTGAGTCCTGCGGCGGACTCTCTCACTCTCGAGCTGCACCTTACTCATTCGAAAGATCTTCCCGGAGTGGGGCATTTCACCTCGACTCGGCACAAGTGGCGCCTCCTCTGCTCCCTCGGACTCGGAGAGGTCCACGACAGGCCTTGTCAGCCACGCAGTCAAGGGCTTCTTGCTGTCTTCCAAGACTCTGAGATTCTCACTCATCGTCGATGCTCTGAGCATGGCTCTCTGCAACACTCCTCGGAGAGCTTCCGGGGATGCTCCTGAGGCCATGTTCGACTGTGACGCGCGGGCTCTGCATGGCTTGGCAACGAGGCTTGGATCAGCAACCAAACTCCAGGTTTCCTCGGCGGGCTCTCTGCAACACTCCGAGGATCACCTGGGCTACGTATACAGAAAGCAAAGTATCGACAGCTTCAGGTTCCATGTAGTTGCATTGCTGCAACACGACATCGGTCAACCTGGATCCTAGATCTAGGTGCCCTTGTTGTGAGGGGCCAGCTCTCTGCAATGCTTCTCGCAGGGCTTGGAGGTCGCCGTGCTTTGCTGTCCGACCTGATTGCACTGCTCACTTCGGCGCCCTTCATCAGTGAAGCACCGCCTCGTCCCTGTCGTTACAAGGCCTCTGAGCCTGCAGATGTTCGGATTCTGGCCAGACTTTGTGGAAAGTGCGGTGAAGCTGGAGACGGTTCCATGTGGCTTGATCTTGCTCCCTTCTTCTTCACTACGTAGGGTTTCTTGCGCTCAGGCTTCTATGCTGTGGTGCGATTGTAGCCACACCCTACGCCGGTCAATCGGGGAAGTCACTTCCGGGAAGGCAATATCAAGCCACAGTAACTGGTGTGCGGCTGCTTTGGCCGCAATCCCACAGGTGCCATAAGCAGAAAACTACACGGCCGACCCCTCATCCAGGACCGCTTTCTGGAATCAGAAATCAGAGGTCTGCGGGTCGGTGCACATCTCCTGAGATGAAGAATGACAAGCTGGGAGCAAGTCTTGACACGCTTTCACTCAAGTTTCAAGGCAGCCTCAAGACCAACAGCAGCAGTACCCACATGCGAAGTAAGAGCTCTCAGCACCTTTTCGCAGAAGTCTGCGGGTTGTCGGGGTTCCGTCGAACAAACCAAGTAATGCCAGTGCAAGGTCTCTACAGCTTTCGTAAGAGCAAGGGCGACAATTGCCTTGCCCGCGGTGCGGTTGTAGGACGAATAGTGCAAAAAGCACTCGATAGAGAGTGTCAAGGATCATGCATTCTACGAGCTGCGCCCGGTGATCGTGTGATCTCGTTGGGTACAAGTGCAGGTGAAACGGATATTAGTTCTCAATGCTATTATAGTCCTGTGCTTCTACTCTATCAATCGGCGGTCGTCAGAATCAGAGCAATCAGAGGAGAGCTGGTCAGATTCGGAAGATAGTCAATCCTCGAGGGAGCCTGGTAAACTTCCATTTGGCCGGATTGCCTTTGCGTCTGGAATTTCTGGTGGGAGAGGCGCGTACTGGGATAGCGAGAGCTTGGACCTCAAAGACACCGTCTTTGTCATGGCCAGTTGTTTCGCTTGCCATTCTTCCTCCTTCTTCTTGGCTGCTTCAATAAAGCCTCTGCGGACTGCCAGGCGGACGGTGAACTGCCTGACGATGATTCCCAACTCTGGGCAAGTGCGTGTCCGCTTCTCCACCACTTTCATGAATTTCTCCCGGGTCAGGAAGAGCACTTCAAGGTAGGTCAGCGCAGTGCCCCTCACGTTGCGGATGAGGCTCATGTCGGACAGGACGAAGTCTTCACCCCACACGGCCCCGTTGGTGCCAACCCTGTTGTTAAGTGCAACGATGCCTTTGGAGACGATGTAGAGCACCTGCATGTTGTCGAACTTCTCTCCCTGTGCGAAAGCTCCGCAGGACAGCTCCCGTGAAACATCGGCGATGCACGCCCTGTAGACATCGGTTTCCTTTCCTTGTGCCGTCTCTGAATCTATGAAATCCATGAACTTCTCCAGGAATGGCACCTTTGAGATCCACGGAAGGTTTGCTGCCGTGCTAATCTCCGACTGCAACTGCGGGCTCATGGACTCCCTCAACTTCTGGCGGGTGATGTAGAGAGCCTGGTGGCGGTTCTGCAGGAAGAAGCTCCTGTGGAAGGCGAAACCCAAGTTGGAGGCATCAAGCTCTTTTGAGAAAGCTTCGTTCGAAACATGTAAGGCAATTTAAAGGCAGCTAACCGGAGAGTTTTGCTACGCAAATTTCAACTTCGACCTGCCCCGATCGCGACACTCCCAGCGGGCGAGCATTCAGCAAGGTGAATCTCGCTCTCTCTCGCTGCTCTCTCTCTCTCTCTCGTTCTCTCTCTCTCTCTCTCTCTCTACCAACCCTCGCGCGCGCACGTGCACCTGCGGGTCCTTGCAGGGTTTTAAGCTTCCATGGGGGGGCTTAGCCCCATGTGGCTCGGCTTTGCACGGGCAAAGCGAGGTTCGACTGTCCCCCATTTTCTCTCAACAACCGTAGCAGTGTTACTAGAGCTCCCCAATAGACGCCAGCAACAGTGTCAGTGGCTCTAGGCAACTGTCGCCCCCCACTGTAACACCTGCTTGCCCTGGCCTCTAAGCACTACGAACGACAACGGCCACAAAATATTGCGAACTGTCATTCTGCAAACACTAGAGCATACTCCGCTCTACAGAACTGTTGCACACTCACTCTGAGGCTCCGGCTACTGCTGGCGGGGAAAGCGTTGCGAAAAACAACAGCATATGATTAAAATCCCCCGCGCGGGGTTCAAAACAAAGAGACTGGCTAGGTTAAGCATCAAAGCATCCCCCTTTGTGCTAAGTGGTCTCGTTGGTTCGGTGCTGCTCAGGCTCCATCTACTAGCTCTCAGTTTTCCCCCACTTCTCGCTTGCTTGCTGCAGGTCAAAGGTAGTGCATGCCCTACCCTCCCCCGAAGGGCACCTGTGCGTCCTGCGTCTCGCACTCTCTTTCTTTCTTTCTGCAGGGCGTAGGGGTCGATCACTCGACCCTCAGGCCTTCGGCCCGCCCACCGCTCTCTCTTGCTTGCTTGCTTGCTTGCATG